AATTTAAAAGTATATTGTTTGGTATGGGAGTGATATGAAATAAAGACAAAACTAAAAGTTTCTATTTGTTCAGTTAAACGTTAAGAATAGACAAGTGCAGCTGGCGTGACTCAGTGGTTGAGCATTGGCCTATGAATCAAGAGGTCACCGGTTCAATTCCTGGTCATGGTATATGCCCAGGTTGCGGGCTCAGTCCCCATGTGGGGCGTGTAAGAGGCAGTCAATTGGTGATTCTCATCATTGAAGTTTCTATCTCTCCCTCTCCCTTTCTCTCTGAAAGCAATAAAAATATATTTTAAAAATAAATAAAAATATAATAAAAAAGAATAGACAAAAATAAATAACAAAAACACACACACACAAAATAACATATGTACTACAGTTACAACTTAGGGAAATTTATGAAGAAAATAAATATCTAGGGCAAAGAAAGGAAGACATTTCACGCAAGGAAAAGAAGAGGAATAGAAACTTGCCAGATAGCATTACTAGTGAATCTGGCTGGATGGGGACTGAGTGGATGCAGGATGTCACTCTCTGTAGAGAGGCTGAAGCTACCCAGTGCCAGCTCTTTGTTCCCATGAGACTGAGGCTGTGTTGCCAGATCTCTTTTGTTTTCAAGAGGTACCTGAAAAATGGAATGTCAAGTTTTTAAATGTTGGCATCTGTTTCAGGTTTTTATGAAACTTAGAGCAATTCACATAAAATATATCTTTGGGGCTGAATTCTTTAAGGGAAAGAGGGAATGGTAGAGAAGTGCATAGGAATTTTGAGGTAAGAGAGGAAAGTGGAAGACAGCCAGGCAAGGACAAGGAGAAATGAATAAGAGCGGGGAGACTAAGATATAAATAAAGGCCTATTTTTGCTTACCCTGCCTTGTTTCCCTCTCAAACCACATACTCAAAGCCTGGATGAGATCAGTCCTTCCCAAGGCCTCTATACCTGCTCCTGCTCCTGCTCCTACTTCCCTCTCCCTCTCCTTGCTCTGTAAACCTCTTAAGTGGTCCCACCAGTTCCATAGGTAGCATCCACAAATTCTGCTGATGGTTTCAGGCATTCTTCAAAAGTTCCACACAATTCTTTTTTGATCTGCCTAATTTCAGGTTTGTACCTGACTTACCTGACTTGGCATCCTTCCCGAGTTTCCCTGCTCTGTTTAGCTGAACCAGCTTTCTGGTCCTTGAAACATTAATTTCTTTCCTTTTCTCTCTCTCGCTTTCATTCTTTCCTCCATCCCTACTTTCTTTCTCTATCACATTAAATAATTCTCAGATAACTCTTTTAAGTGGAAAAATCTGCTTCCATAAGTCCCTTAACCTTGTCTGGGGATGGACACACACACACACACACACACACACACACACACACGCACGTGTGCACACGCGCACACACACACACATACACACACACACACCCTGGGCATTTTCAAATTTGACATACATTTATCTTGGGTTTTCAATGAAGTGTTCATAAATGTTTCCAGCTTCCTGTGCATTATTGAATTTTTAAATGCTATCATTCAATTTCCCCCTAAATAATCTCTATAGATTTTTCAGTTTCTTTTTCTAAAATTAAATAACTAGGATAGATTTTTGTTTTCTCTCTCCCACTGGTATGCTTGATATAATTGGTATCTTCACAGATACTTATGTAGGACCCACACTATAATGCACTGGGTAAGGAAATAGGGACCCAAAGAAGAATGAGACATAGCTCTTGATCTCAAGTTGCTTATAATAAAGACTAGAGGCCCATTGCATGACATTTGTGCACTGGGGGAGCGGGACAAGGGGTGCGGGGGGGGGGGGGTCCCTCAGCCCGGCCTGTGCTTTCTCGCGGTCCGGGACCCCTTGGGGGATATCCACCTGCCATCTTAGGTCCGATCCCTGGGCCTGCAGTCAGACATCCCTCTCCCAGTCCAGGACTCTCACAGTCTGGGACCCCTAGCTCCTTACTGCCCGCCTGCAGTGGAGGCAGGAGAGGCTCCCGCCACTGCTGCTGCGCTCCCCAGCTGTGAGCCTGGCTTCTGGCTGAGTGGTGCTCCCCGTGTGGGAGCGCACTGACCACCAGGGGGAAGCTCTTGCGTTGAGCATTTGCCCCCAGGGTGGTCAGTGTGTGTCATAGCGACCGGGTGGTTTCACTGTTCAGTCGATTTGCATATTAGGCTTTTATTATATAGGATGGGGAGATAAGATATCACATGAAAAAATAAATAATTTTAAAAGGTCATGTATGCTAAGTGACAGAAATAGCTAGTTCTCCTTCTGACCTTATCACATCCTCAGTGTTTACTACTCTCTTCCCAAAGCAGAGAACTGAAAAGTACTGCCATGTGGGCACCTTTTCATCCCATTTATGATTTTTTTTATTTAACTGGGGAAAAGTCTCTCTGCTACTCTCAAAGGAAAAAGAACGATCTTTCTCCTCCAATAATATTTTAGCTCTAGAATAGCGGTTCTCAACCTGTGGGTGGAGATCCCTTTGGGGGGTCGAATGACCCTTTCACAGGGTTTGCCTAAGACCATCGGAAAACACATATATAATTACATATTGTTTTTGTGATTAATCACTATGCTTTAATTATGTTCAATTTGTAACAATGAAAATACATCCTGCAGATCAGATATTTACATTATGATTCATAACAATAGCAAAATTAGAGTTATGAAGTAGCAACGAAAATAATTTTATGGTTGGGGGTCACCATAACATGAGGAACTGTATTAAAGGTTCGTGGCATTAGGAAGGTTGAGAACTACTGCTCTAGAAGAACAAGATGGAAGAAGAGAATGAGTGAGGCAAAAAAAAACCACAACACACAAAAACATGAAAGGACAGGAGACATCTCAAATTGCAGTCATGCTGGTGTGGCTCAGTGGTTGAGTGCTGACCTATGAACCAGGAGGTCATGGTCCAGTACCCGGTCAGGGCACAAACCTTGGTTGCAGGCTTGATCCCCAGTATGGGGTATGCAGGAGGCAGCTGATCAGTAATTCTCTTTCATCATTGGTGTTTCTATCTCTCCCTCTCTCTTCTTTTCTCTGAAATCAATACAAATATATTTTAAAAAAAGATTCTCCCTTTGTCTTAAAAAAATCTATTTCTGCTAGAATTCTTATAAAATCTTATTTTGGAATTTAAAATTTTGTTTAGTTTATAATTAATTTAGCCTATTGTATATTAATTTTGCCTAGAATTTGGTAAGCCTTTTTAATCTATCAATACCTACACTTTATTATTATTTTTACTTTAGGGCATTTTTATTTTTTCCTTCTAATAAATCTTTTACAATTATTTCTGTTCCCATTCTGATTTCTTTTTCAGTGGTGATGACTATTCAAAGGTTGAATATTTTCTTTCACTGTAGTTATCACTTTCTTAGAGAATTTCTCTAGGTTGTTACTGATTAAATTTTATGCAGTTTTAATTTTGTACTTTACATACTCCAATGCATATTTTAATTATTATATATTTTACTGTTTTTTGAGGGGTTTTTTGAATTTTTATTTTTCTCTGCCAGCTCAATTTTTATCGTGTCTTTCTCTTGTTCACTGAATCCATGATTTCTTATATATCATGAGATTTTTAAAAACACACAAACAATATAAACTTTTATTTATTGGATAACTATTATTTAGAGATCGACATCTCCCTGTATTTTTAAGGTAATAGCTAAGTTCTATTTTCTTTATCACAGAGGTTTTTTAATTTTATTTTAAAGGTCCCTTTTACCTATTTCTTTTCTGATTTTTCAAACTTGAATGAGGAATTATTTCTCAGGACCTGGTATTTGTAAAGTAATATGATAGTTTCATTCCCTTTGAGTTTATATATTATCCACATTTTTATTGCTAGAATTCCCTGATCAGCTCTTAACCTGACAACCACCTTCCGGTGTATAGAAGACATTTAGTTAGGATGGCTTTGTTAGATAGAGTGAGAAATTTCTTCTTCTCTCAGTTTTTGTTCTTAATGTATAAGGAAGTAAATTTATTTTTGGAATTTTCACAAAATATTTTGAAATTTGTATAATTTGTTATAGATAGTACATGACCCGTATAACCTCTAGAGGGCATGCTTCGCTCTGACCTAACCGACCTTAATTTACCACCAAAAACCAGGCAGCACCACCTATCCTCTACTAAGCATTTAGCACTAATTGTTGCTTCCTGAACAGATGTAGAAAGAGAGGTAAAGGTGAAGATGGTGGGGAAAATCTACATTATTAAGTAGTTAAATGGTATGTCATCCAATTCATTTCTATAGTACTTAGTATCAGAGATCTTATCAATGATTGTTTTATAACCTATATAAGCTATAATCAGGGGTAGATAACTCATCAATAATTTATTTTTACAACTTTCTATTGCTCTTTTAACTTCCATCACTTTTTCCTTTTTTTGTATGGGAAGATAAATATCTGTCAGTTTCAGTTAGCTAGCATCGTAATGACCTAATTGTTTTAATATTTCACTTAAATGTTTTTTCAAGCCTCTTTACGCTTTGTGGAGAATAGTTCTTATTTTTTGAACGAAACAAAAAACGAATAGATGTGAACTTCAAGCTCAAAATCATGCAAACTGTCATTGGCATTCCCAGAGGTGCTTAATTGCCTGTGGGAAAGACTTGTTTTGTCTGCAAATCATCTGAATGTTCATGAAAATTCATAGAAGTCAATTTTGTGTTTCACTCTGGGTAGTGAGACAGTTTCTTAGGCTTCCCAGAAGTAAGTAATGTGTAGAAATGGTCACTTAGAGTGTCTTTAAACAAATGCCTTAGATGCTTGTGAAAAGTACAAACATTTCTAGAAGCTTAATGATAATGCATATCCATTCTCTACCTCAAACTTTAAAATGCTTCTTGCACAAAAGCTCTCAGGATATAACCTCTTACTGGCTTTGCAAAAGATTCCCAGGAACTGAGGATATATTCACTTTGTCTTGGATGTCACATTCAAGAATAGCTCATTCTATTGTGCTTTGCTTTATTATGTTTTGCAGAGATTGTGTTTTTTATAAATTGAAGGTTTGTGGCAACCTTACATTGAGCAAGTCAATCGGCACCATTTTACCAACCAGCTCAGATGGTGGAAATATCTTTTAATTAAGGTATGTACATTATTTTTCTAGACAATGTTATTGTACACTTAATAGACTACAGTGTAGTATAAACATAACTTTTATATTCACAAGAAACCAAAAATATCACATGCGTTGTTTTATTGCCATATTCACTTTATTTATTTATTTTTAAAATATATTTTTATTGATTTCAAAAAGGAAGAGAGAGGGACAGAGAGATAGAAATGTCAATGATGATAGAGAACCATTGATCAGCTGCCTCCTGCACGCCCCCTACTGGGGATCGAACCAGGGCATGTGTCCTCACCAGGAATTGAACCTTGACCACTGAGTACACTAAGCAAGGCCATATTCTCTCTATTTCAGTGGTCTGGAATGAACCTGAGAGATGCCTGTAATCATATTCTTAATCTAATCAGAATAATCCACTTAGCTTTTTTCAAATGTGAATTCCTTTTGTATGTAGGCTCAGGAATATCACATTGTAGTGCAGGCTTTTATTCTAGAAGGAAGTAGCCTATGTTTCCTCATTGATCTGGTTCTAGTTCTCTCATCCTCACCTTGATTTTTCATATTCTCACAGGTTCTCACATTGCTCAGCGTGAACATATAGGTTTCAGGTGTGGGTTTCTATGCTATGGGATTTGTATATTGCACCTTTTACTTTTCAATACTCTATCCTTTCTCAGTTATTATAATTTTCTTCATTTGAATTGATTTGTTGTTGATCTCCCAACTTTATTACTGTCATTCATTATTAATGTAGCATCAGAGATGCACCTTGTATTTTATACAGTTGTTAAATACAAATAAGATGGGTAATTGCTTGGCGGGTAGAGCTTCTCCCTTAGAATATGATGGTTTCACAGTACCTGTGATACCTAAATAGCTATGACACTTCTAATGGAGATAAAAGGCTCTCATGAAAGATTGCTAGTATGACAAGATCACAAAGTACCCATCTTATGCCATGGTGATAAGAACACCACATCTGATATTTACTTATTTTAGAGAAGTGGTGTACCTTCTAGTCCTTTTTAAAAATTATATGTCATTATGCATTGATACGCATAGGAAAATATATTTATAATCTCATATATTTACTCCCCAAATAGTAGGATAGTCAAAAAAAAAATCATTATAGCTCAGAACCCCAGGGGCAGCTAGTAAGAGAAACATAATGTTCGATTTGCAGGGAGCTTCTTAGCTTGCTTCTGTGTGCAGTAAAATATTTTACTGAGCAAAGTAAATCAAGGAGAAGGAAGCATAATGTGAGATAGAATACATATACTTAAAACTCTAAAGATGTTCTTCAACATATAAAATGACCAGACAAAACCCAAAAGATCTAAATTTGCATTACTCTCCATAATATGTTTGAAAAAAATTAATTCCATTTTTAGTGCCAGAATTAAATTAAGGTATTTATACATGGCTCCAGTCTCCATATTCTCCTGAGAGAGCAATTAAAGTCACAAAATAAACCCACCACTTGTAAATATTCAGCCAAGCAGTTGGCAAGCACTTTGCCTATGATCTTCACCTTCCTTAAGCAGCTGAAGCCTTTGTGATTTTAAATCCAAGGTTAAAAAAAATGTTTTGGAATTCTTCCTAGGGTGTGAACTTTTTGGATTCTTTCCTATTATCTTTGCCCAGTAATCCTATAGTGTTTGTTACTGTGCCCTTGGGTGTTCAGAGAGAAAGCCATTAAACCAAGGTGTAGTTCTTGTTTTGTAATGGAAGCTGGCCCAACAATCAGCTCATGTCTGGAAGATCACAATATTGTCATACTAACTAATTATTTTTTCATTCTGTTCTTAACATAATCGTTTTAAATTTAATATATTAAACTTGTAGTCTGACTAGGGGCTATGAGTATAACATGGGTATTTGTGGATCATAAATTAAATTCTGTTGTAATCATAACATACTCTATAATACATGGAATAAGGGGTTGGGCACCCTAAGTGGCTTGAAGGAGCAAGAAGAGAGAGGCATAGAACCCTTAATTCTATTAATTTAAGGAGTATTTTCCTTTTGGCAAAGTTTTGAATTTATTCATTAATTTCCTAAATTCTAAGTGAACTGTATTTAGCAATGGAGAAGTAGAGTGAGTTTAGTTTGAAATTCTACTCATAGCCCATAATTTTAGCCCTTGTAAAAATTACTATTTAAGCAGAATCTCTACCATATTCTTTTTTTAAAATTTAATTTAAATTCTTTATTTTTTAAAGTATTACATGAGTCTCCTTTTCCCCCCATTGACCTCTCCCCAGCCACTCCCACCCTAGCATATTCTTATGGACCTTGTTTTCATAAATTTCGAGGTTCTCATAGTTCCCTAGCATGAAGACTTGGCATGGGATTTTGCAGTGGTCCACACCCCCCTTTAAAGGAAACGGCTGTGTGCTCTGACTCTGCTGATGGGGAGTCCTAGGCAGCCTGCTTTGTGCCAGTTCTGCTCTTCCCTCCACTCCAACCTGTGGTTTTTCCAGATGTGGTTTAGAGCCAAGACAGGTGGAATTGATGGGCATCTAACCCAAGGACAGTCAAACAGTAGGCTGATGACTAGAAGATGGTTCCCTGTGGAAAGTTTGGCAAAGTCTACCTGAGCCGATTAGTTCTTGCTATGGGTCATGTCAGTTGGGAAGTTCAGAGGCAGTTAGTAGAGGGAGCCAAAGCTAAATGGCTATGGGTATAGCCAAAGTGTAAACAGAAGCTATGAGAAGGAAACAAAGATAAACAGAGGTGAAGAGGTTGGGTGGTAACCAAAAAAGAAAGAAGTGCTGAGGGAGGAGCTTTCACATTGGTGCTGACACCCTGGGGCGAGATCCAGATTCCTGCCCTTCAGCTTCCCAACCGCCTTATACTCTGGACCACCTTCCAGTTTGAGGAGCTCTATTCCACTCCTGTTCTTGAGACCCAACTAGATTGGCTTTCTCTTGGTATCCCTGAGGTTGGCCAGAGACACGGTTCTTTCTTATGTTACTGGTATGGCCTACTTCACCACCTTGGGGGTAAAAGCAGTTCATATTTATTTTATCTTTCAATTTAATATTGGCTTGAACACTCATGTGCTCAAGTTGCTAGAAAGTCCAGTACCTTATTTATGAAGTTGTCAGCTCATTCGTCAAGTTAAAAATTACTCATAACCTCTGGGGACTGACTTACTTCAAGGAATAGTCATACCTCCAAATTCTCATTAAGAAAGAAAAGGTCTTTGTCTTCAGATGACTTTGCTTCTGTTATAGCCACATGCTGCTGTTAAAAATGGAAGGTCTTGCACTTTTCTATGCTGTCCAATTTATTGTTATAATGACACCACTGCAGATGTATTAGTAGTTTTTAAATATAGGGAGAGGTCTCCTCCCATAGTGTTAAGTCTGTCTGTGGTCACATTAGTATTGTTACCAATATGAATGCTCTTTAACCATGAGGGTTGGGGCAGATGAGGGTGTTCCAGACTTGGGCTACCAAGTTCAACTCTTTGGTTCACACTCACATTATAATCAAAACATGGGCACCTATCAGGGAGCTAGCTCAGCAAGGGAGTCAAGTCACAGCCGCTTGCTCTACTGCAATTAGCCCTTCCACCATGAACTGTGATTCAGGTCACCAATCCATATGCTTCTCCCCTAATGGTGAAGTCCCCCTTTAGGAATATGGCAAGTCATTCTCATCTGTGGGACTATATTGATCAATTAGAAAGTTCTTAATAATCTCAAAAGAGATGAGGTCAAGCTCTCAATATCTGTTTTCCCAGAGGCCTCTTTAATCTTTAACTCCTGTGCAATTTTGCTCACACTTCCTCCATAGAAAACAGCTCTCCACACCAGGGTGTATTAGTAAGAGTGGCTTTCATCTGGTAACATACCTGTAATGCTGCACCCTTCCCTGAAGGCTTGGGATACCTGCTTGCTTTCCACGTGTATATGACTAAGAAATTCACTTAATAAAGAAGATATGCTCCAAATTCATTAAAAAGGAAATCCATGCAATGGATTCAAAGTTCAAAAGGTACAAAAGAGTTTAAATCTCTTTCTCACACTGTCCTCTGATCATCTAGTTCTCCTATCATAAAGAATATGTATATTCTTTAATGATACTATGCACACATATATGCATAATGTACATAAACACATGCTACCATCCTATACATATACATAATTCTACATTTTGCTTTGTTCACTTTACAAGATCAGTTCCTTAACTGTATATATAAAAAGTTGTTTTGCACTAGATGGTTTGGCTCAGTGGATAGAGCGTCGGCCTGCGGACTGAAGGGTCCCAAGGTTTGATTCTGGTCAAGGGCACATGCCTGGGTTGTAGGCTTGATCCCCAATGTGGGGCGTGCAAGAGGCAGCCGATCAATGATTCTCTCTCATCATTCTCTCTCATCATTGATGTTTCTCTCTCTCCCTTCCTCTCTGAAATCAATTAAAAAATATTTTTGTAAAAGTTATCTTACTTTTTTTAAAGGTGGCATATATTCTATCATATACACGGAGTATAATCTAGTCACACATCTATTAATAAATATTAAGTTATTGCCATTCTTTTGCTATTATAAGTAATGTTGTAATGCATATTTTACTTATATTGCTTAGCACATGTAAAACATACATTTAGGAAAATAGGTGCATTGAGCCATGATTCCCAGCAATGATAAAGTAGGCAGGCAGGCCAGCCTAGTGGGCAGGACTCAGGGCTCCAGATCCACAGAATTTTTTTGAGCAAAGGTTTGAACTCAAACACTGAGACAGATAGCTTCAAATAGTAATAACTCTGAAGCAGGGACAGTAATTGCGGGTTTGATTTGGGAAATATTAATCAAACGTATTTAGAATATCAACAACAGCTTTTATCTACCTTTAATTTTTAAGGCCTCTTTCCATCACATATTTCTGATTCATGTATTTGATAAATATTAATATGTGTAATTTTTGTATACCTTATATTATTAGGCATCAGAAAGCTTAAAGAATTGGAGGCAATTGTCCTTGAGATTTTGGAACTTACAAATTGG